TTTTTATAACCTGAACCCATTGAAAATGGATAAAGAGGGTAAAATGTATTTGTGCAAATGTATGTAACAGGCAGAAGGAAGCATCTCTGACCCCATAAAGTATATATATTCTTGATCAGCATCAACAGCCGAGTCGGTCTAGCCATGTCCGTTTGCCTGTCCGTCTATCCGTATGTATGAACGCAAGGATCTGAACCTTATTCTACTACCACCAAATGCAGCTCCGCTAAGCACTTGTTTTTTGTAGCACTAATAAAATAAATTTTAACGAGAAAGAAGTGCTATCTTCGGCACACCGAAGATTTAATACCCTTGCAGACCCAACCTTTTCAAAATGCTTATAGTGCTTTGCCCGTATCTAAGAAGCACAGGGAAAATAGTTAATGCCGAGTATGGTTAAGATATCATGAAAAACAAAACAGGTTTCCGTACAACAACTTAATTTTCGACCGATCGTTTCTATGGCAGCTATATGATATAGTAGCCCGATGTGAATAAGATTTTGCATAAGTGGAGGGAGCATAGTAAAACTAATAAATGCCGAGTTTGGTCAAGATATCTTGAAAAACAAAAAAAAATTCCATACAACAGCATAATTTTCGACCGATCGTTCCTATGGCAGCTATATGATATAGTTGTCCGATCTTAATAGGATTTTGCATATATATGGGGAGCGTAGTAAAACTAATAAATACCGAGTTTGGTCAAGATATCTTGAAACACATAAAAATTTTCCATACAAAAACTTAATTTTCGACCGATTGTTCCTATGGCAGCTATATGATATAGTTGCCCGATCTGAATAGAATTTTGCATATATATGGGGAGCTTAGTAAAACTAATAAGTACCGAGTTTGGTGAAGATATCTTGAAAAACATAAAAATTTTCCATACAAAAACTTAATTTTCGACCGATCGTTCCTATGGCAGCTATATGATATAGTTGTCCGATCTTAATAGGATTTTGCATATATATGGGGAACATAGTAAAACTAATAAATAACTAATAATAAAGTTTAGTAAAGATAACTTTATAAACAAAAATGTTTTTCATACAAGAACCTACTTTTCGACCGATCGTTCCTATGGCAGCTATATGATATAGTGGTCCGATCCAGCTGGTTTTGACATATGAGCTGCGTGCAACAGAAAGAGGGACTTCTGCAAAGTTTCATAAAGATAGCTTTAAAACTGAGAGACTAGTTCGCATAGAAACAGACAGACGGACAGACGGACATGGCTATATCAACTCGGCTGTTGATACTGATCAAGAATATATATACTTTATGGGGTCGGAGATGTCTCCTTCTATGCGTTACACATTTCACGACAAAATTATTATACCCTCTGCAAGGGTATAAAAATGTAGTATTCCCTCTTCCAGTGTCGAACCCACAACCAACTTCAACCCACTGAACTACTTGCCATCGCCTCATTCGTCACAGCCATACCAAAAATCGAATTTAGGGAAAAGAACTAAACTTAAAAAGCAGCACATACACAGAGCAAAGCAAACAATTTTAATTCAATTTATAAAATTCAAAAATGTCTCACCTATTAATGTTTGTGTGCAATTTAGACTTTCTTTGTCTGTAGAAGATCATATTGTGCTGTAGAATATTCGTATATTCTCAGAAAATATCAGAATTGAAGTTGTTGCCTTGTTTAACGGGGTATGTGTATTTTTGTGTTTGACTGTATAGAAGGATGAGGGAATGTTTGTGACGGTAGCTCAGCGCTAGATTTAGGGAATCTCCAAGTCGTGCACTCCCGACTAGAGAATTCTTCCTTGTTTTACTATGATAAAATGGATTTTAGATCAGCAGAGTCTATATGGCATACAAACTAATGCAAACGATCTTTTTCTTTACCGTTGCAGAATTCACTACCATTATTGTTTGAATAATGTCGCATGAAAAAATAAGAACAGTAAAAAACGTATATGACAAATTATTATTAATGATATCCTTAGCACTCACAACTAGTTTGAGCGCATAGACTGGCATCAATAAATACAGCAATTAATCTTTGAACATAAGTTGTTAAAGGCTTTCAAGCCAGCAATTTGTTGTGAGGCTATGAGGCAACTTAGCAGCAACTGCTGAAGGAGGAGAAAGGACAGCACCAGGAGTGTGAGCGAATGGCCAAACACCAGCTTACACTGCCTGTAAAAAATAGATATCAGTTTACATCGTTAAACTAGCAAAGCCGAAAAATGCAAAAGGAGAACAATGTAATGGTCCGCCAAACTGTCAATTTTTTTGGTCCATATCGCTTGGACACCGGGCAAGGGTCAAACTGGTAAGTATCCAACAATAGTTTTAATTTATTTTTACCAATTTTAAAAATAAGCTTCTACCATTTGGTCAGGTCTCGTCAAGCTATGCGTACATTGTGTGATTGGAAAAAAGGTAGCCATTAAAATAATCAATCGTGAGAAACTTAGCGAATCAGTGCTCATGAAGGTAAGTATTGCAGTCCATCACACCACTTACCATGAAGATTCTTTTTATCAGATATCCGTTCTATATGACTTGACTATTTATACCATTATGCTTAGATTATTTTGACATTAGATGTCTAACGCATAGAAGCAGACATCTCCGACCTAATAAAGTATATTTACTTATTTATCTGGCTGTTTCTGTAATTTGTGAGCTAGATCATCTGAATCAGTTTTCTTTGTCGTCACACACAATAAGAAAGGCTTTGGCAACTTATAATATGTAGTTAAATTGCTTCTTAGTCAATTGCATTGGGTTGATCCGTAACATATTCAAGGTTCATCAACCTTTTCGATTGCATTCGTGCTTTATTTAGATTTACTTGATTCACTTACTACACAATCTAAATTCGACTCTTATATGTAGTGATATTGCTTCTTAGTCAATTTCATTGGGTTGACCCGTAACATATTGAAGGTTCATCAACCTTTTCGATTGCATTCGTGCTTTATTTAGATTTACTTGATTCACTTACTATACAATCTACATTCGACTCAAATTATTAAATAATTATTTAATTAAATAATAATTTAATCCCTAGAAACTGATAGAGGGGGTGATCTAGAGGCATTCGCAATAAAGCAATAGTTATTATACCCTTGCAGAGGGTATTATAATTTTGTCGTGAAATGTGTAACGCATAGAAGGAGAGATCTCCGACCCCATAAAGTATATATATTCTTGATCAGTATCAACAGCCGAGTTGATATAGCCATGTCCGTCTGTCCGTCTGTCTGTTTCTATGCGAACTAGTCTCTCAGTTTTAAAGCTATCTTTATGAAACTTTGCAGAAGTCCCTCTTTCTGTTGCACGCAGTTCATATGTCAAAACCAGCTGGATCGGACCACTATATCATATAGCTGCCATAGGATCGATCGGTCGAAAAGTAGGTTCTTGTATGAAAAACATTTTTGTTTATAAAGTTATCTTTACTAAACTTGGTATTTATTAGTTTTACTACGTTCCCCATATATATGCAAAATCCTATTAAGATCGGACAACTATATCATATAGCTGCCATAGGAACGATCGGTCGAAAATTAAGTTTTTGTATGGAAAATTTTTATGTTTTTCAAGATATCTTGACCAAACTCGGTATTTATTAGTTTTACTACGCTCCCCATATATATGCAAAATCCTATTAAGATCGGACAACTATATCATATAGCTGCCATAGGAAAGATCGGTCGAAAATTAAGTTTTTGTATGGAAAATTTTTATGTGTTTCAAGATATCTTGACCAAATTTGGCATTTATTTGTTTTACTATGCTCCCTCCACTTATGCAAAATCTTATTCACATCGGGCTACTATATCATATAGCTGCCATAGGAACGATCGGTCGAAAATTAAGTTGTTGTACGGAAACCTGTTTTGTTTTTCATGATATCTTAACCATACTCGGCATTAACTATTTTCCCTGTGCTTCTTAGATACGGGCAAAGCACTATAAGCATTTTGAAAAGGTTGGGTCTGCAAGGGTATTAAATCTTCGGTGTGCCGAAGATAGCACTTCTTTCTCGTTATAATTCAAGTCACAGTTTCGCGGCTTAGAATGCAATCTTAAAATTGTGCTGGGAACAATGATTTTGAGAAGATTCATGTGCGAAAGAGTTTCAACCTTGTGATTAATTTGGTTGTTGATCGCCACGTAGGGCTACTGCTATTTTTCGCTTTTTTGGTTTGGCTAACTTAGCTGATAGATCAAAATGCCAAAAACTCTGATTCAAGCAGGAACAGTTATCCAGAGAACCAGATAGAACTGGTGTTATCCTCAACATCGCATCCTCAGAAAACAATTCCAGCAGGGTAGACTTTCGTAGAGACATGCTGCTAGAGTGCAGTCTTCGACCATTATTGGGTATTTGCCACACGGTTATTAGCATTATCTAACATAAGCGTGCGCTGGGAATCAATTGGCACGCGGCTGGAAGTCCTTCAATAAATGCGTAACCGCGCATGGTGTGAAAAATTATGAACCCTACACATAATGAATTTCTTGCAACTTGCATTTTTTCACAATGTGGGATCTCCGAAGGCGATTGTGATAAAGTAACGCAACCACTTATCTGATGGCTTAAGGATTTGCAGAAAATACAAGGGCTAGGTTCATTTGCAGCGAAAAATCGTAATTTGCATTCTTCTTTTGGATATGTCAAGTTGACTGTTGCCAATAAGCCTATACAATAAATAAGGCCTTCTTCTTTGCAAGTAAGCCCCATGAGTGGTTGCTTTCATTCTGTTTTGCAAAGACAGAGTAAGACTGCTGAGAGTAATAGCCGAACGCTGTGCCAAGCCGTATCTCGCACAATGCAGAACGGCTAATATTCCGATTGGCGGCAAAGTGTCTTAGATGGCTGTATCCCTGTCGATGAGATGAGCACACATACGTATCAGTGGGAATGCCTAACAGGAATTGGTGTTCATTTGTCGAGAGGGGGAGAATGTAGACTATGCATATATATGTATGCAATTTTATACATATGTTTTACTAGTTACCTACTTGGATAAAATTCTGAACTATCTACCGTATGTTGTACAAAAAAGCTGATCAGCCGAATCCCTTACACAGCTTATTGTTTTTTGTTTTTTTTTTTACTTTAACTAGTAGCACTGCCGACGTGTTGTAGCTGTTATAAGTTATAAGCCACTGTTATTACTGGGGAGAGAAATGAAACTAAGTTCCATATTATATGCTATAATGTTTTCCCCATAAAGAAATATTCATTCAAAGGTAACTTAGCTTTGACTACCTTTGCCATAAATAAACTTTTGTAAATCGCTCCCCATTACTGATACAAAAGGTAGTTCAAAATACCAAAGTCATTCTCAATGTCTCTTAACGGTTAAAGATATTTCATAATTATGTAATTACTTATGAACTCTCACTCTTAGTTTTCTGATTGAAAAATGTTGGGTTTTAAGTTTTGTCTCTGTATATATAGAACGCTCTTGATTTGAATACTGATGCGACATCAGTTAATGCTGTTTTATTCAGTTGAGCCAAAAAAAAATGTAATAATCGATTTTCCAAAACCATAAAGCACAAATCTGCTGCAGGGTTAACATAGAAAAGTAGGCGTAGGCTTTGCTAGCTTTTTACTTGTTTTGCTATATTTCTCAAGTGGTTATTAGCTTCGGACTGAGGACAAGGCCTTTCATTAACCTAAACTAATTTACGTATAAGCATTACAATTCGCATTCCCTATCGTGTTTATTCAAGGTTGAACGGGAAATAGCCATTATGAAACTAATCGATCATCCGCACGTGCTTGGTCTGAGCGATGTATATGAAGACAAGAAATATTTGTATCTGATATTAGGGCATGTTTCTGGCGGTGAGCTTTTCGATTATCTCGTTAAAAAAGGTCGGCTTACGGCAAAGGAGGCGCGCAAGTTTTTTAGGCAAATCATATCCGCGCATGATTTCTGTCATTCACACTCCATATGGTAAGTACTAAATTACCGAGAAAAAAAATCGACTAATTTTTTTTTATTGTCACAACTGAACTTGAAGCCAGAGAATTTGCTGCAAGATGTAAAAATAACATTAAAATAGCGGACTTTGGTATGGCCTCACTTCAACCATGTTAGAAACCTCGTGCGGATCCCCACACTATGCCTGTCCAGAAGTCATACGGGTTTCGAAAAAGCAAAAATTTTTAAATTACTGCCATTGAACCCTTTTTGATGTTTCTAAGTGTAAATAATTTTGGATCGCGTTAGCAACATACCGATTTTATAACAAAGCGATTTTAATACTAAGGTGGCTCTGAAACTTTTTCAATCATCAATTCCAATAAAATGAGAAAATTATAACCACATAATTACTAAATTTAAATAATGAAGAAGATCTAGAAAGTAATGATATCTTCGCCACGTCGAAGATTTAATACCCTTCTAAACATATTCCTGTTTCAGATATGTGGGAATAAAAAGACACACAAATGGCGCATAAGGCAAAAGCGACCTTACAAGCTATTTAATAAATAACAAGTAAGAGGTTCTAGTCGGGAGCTCCCGACTAGGGGATACCCTGAACCGTCTTCTTCCAACACAAAATGCAGATCGCGCTACGCGCTCGTTTGCTTAAGTAGTTATAAAGAAAAATTAAAACACAAAAAAAAAAATTGTTTCCTTGGCAGGGTTCGAACTTGCAACTAACCGCAACTATATTGGTGGGCAGTCTAAATTGGTTTATTTATTTGACTTGTAGCTATGTGGTAAAAGCGGGGAGGTGATGGTAGCGATAAAATGAAAGATACTTGATATATACATATACACTGTTTGGGCTACAGCTAAACCACAAATAAAAGAGCGCATAAAAAAGAGCGAGTAACGAAAATGCATCTGTACATAGATCAGCCACATTGAGTAATGTCTTATCACTCAATGGATCACGCGCTATCACGGTTGAGTTGAGTTGAATTTAGTGGCTCTCTCAAGCGCTCCAGCTTTAAGTCCTGTTACTTTAAGTTATCTTACTTTCGTGTATTTTGTATTTCTAATGAGCTTTGAATTTGCTAGTTTAGTAACAGCTGTAGTAGGACAAATACATGCATGTACATACACATACAGATAGACAAATTCTCAAGGCCATTTAGGCAACAATCTCCCGTTTGTTTTAAGCGCTAACATTCCTCATGCACTCTAATTCTTGCAAGAAGAGCTCGACAAGTCGAATCACGCCTTGTCTCGCTTACACACACATAAACTTATTGTCAATTCTCCTTTAGTCTGTAAGCATAAAACGAACGCGAGTCAGTCGCGATCGAACAGTCGAATAAAGAAGACGTATCAAGATAAATCGTGTGTTTTACTTTGAAAGCGGCATTTGTCTTCTACAAATTCAGAAGTGGTCCAACCTAGCAAAAAATAGATTTGAACATTTTCACGGTCATCCAATTGAAAAATTGGCTATCTGGCTTAGGAGCACCGACGACAGGAAGCAAGGCGGAATTGATTGCTCGTCTAAACACATTCGCACCGAGTGTACGCGGCAGTGCCCCGGGTTTAGACGCTGACGATGTGGACATGCTGGAATCAGCTAGCTTGGGGAACAGACAGGCACGACCAAGGAGCAACAGCATAGATGTCGTGCAGCAGCAGAATATGGAAAGCAGCCAGATCGGAGCATTGACAACGCAGCAACAAGCAGAAGCCCAAAATAATTTACACATAGGCGAACTAATGGAAGTAATTAGGCAATTACAAAGCGAAGCCAATGCGAGCAAAATTGCGCTACAGCAAATTCAGCAGCAAAATGTAACGGCAAACGACAGCGGTGGCGACAGCGGCGGCGCCAGCAGCGAAAGCCAAAGCAGAGACAACGATAACGGCGTTGCCAACAACGAATGTCGAGACAGAGACGGAAGCGCTGGCATTGAAACAGCTGCAGAAACTCTACAAACTCGTGAAAGAGATAAAACTACATCAAATCGCGGATCAGCTGCAACAATCACAATCGCGAAAGAGGCGACGTTAGAATTCGATGGAAGCGGTAGCGCACGCATGTGGGTCAATCATATTAAAAACATTGCACAAATCTATGATTTAGACGACAATTACTTGCGCATGCTGTTTACGACAAAGCTGAAAGGAAAAGCGCAACACTGGTTGCATTCCAATTCAACGCGCATTCTGGAGCCAATAGGAACATTGAGCAACCAGCTGATCGCGGCTTTCGAAGAAAAAATTTCAAAATCAGACATGCGACGCAAGTTGGAACAACGCAAGTGGCAAATACACGAAAAATTTGCGATGTATTTTGAAGACAAGATGATGCTAGCCGATACCATCAATATGGACGAAGACGAACTCTTAGAACAAATCATCGAGGGAGTTCCCTCCGAGACGTTGCGCGACCAAGCCCGGATTCAATGTTTCGCTAATCCTGAGCAGATGCATCATGCGTTTGCCAACTTAGTTCTTCAAAGGCAAGAGCGGGTAACCCAGGGATTTCATGAATGCATGTGGTCTGAGCATAATTCTAGACACCCTAAGCTTGATTGAGGCTAAGGAAACCGAAGACATAAATGATGAAATACAGGAAGGGGGCAATAAATAGAAACTGTTAAGAGACCAGACTGTTAGTGAGCAACTGTTAAGAGACCAGACTGTTAGTGAGCAACTGTTAAGAGACCAGACTGTTAGTGAGCAACTGTTAAGAGACCAGACTGTTAGTGAGCAACTGTTAAGAGACCAGACTGTTAATGAGCAACTGTTAAGTGATCAAACTGCAGCTGTTAGTGAGCGACTGTTAGACGATCAGAAAATTATGAAGAAAACCATTCACAACGAAACGGGTTCTTTAAATATGTAATGACAACTTTAGAAGAAAAGCTAAGAACGACCATATTTTAGATGATGTTATGAAAGAGAATTTTGACAAAGGTATGTTTTGCATAAATGTAGTAGATGATCAATTTCCGGATTACAACTGTGGGCAAAATTAAAGCTATGGAATAAAATGTCGGATCATAAAAATGTTTGAGGAAACGTATATGCACGCAAAAAAGCCAAATGATTCAATCGTTAAATGTGAAATGAAAATATCCTTAGAAAACTATATATAGGAAAACGAACGACGGCAGGTTACGGTTTTGCGCGCCAACGGCCAAGGAAAACCAATTACAAGCACATTCTTATAATAAATCATATTCAAACAAAAAGGAACTGAGATCAGGGGATCTTAATCGCAGGATGGCCGAGTTGTAGTAGGACAAATACATGCATGTACATACACATACAGATAGACACATTCTCAAGGCCATTTAGGCAACAATCTCCCGTTTGTTTTAAGCGCTAACATTCCTCATGCACTCTAATTCTTGCAAGAAGAGCTCGACAAGTCGAATCACGCCTTGTCTCGCTTACGCACACATAAACTTATTGTCAATTCTCCTTTAGTCTGTAAGCATAAAACGAACGCGAGTCAGTCGCGATCGAACAGTCGAATAAAGAAGACGTATCAAGATAAATCGTGTGTTTTACTTTAAAAGCGGCATTTGTCTTCTACACAGCGGAATTTTAATTATACCCTGAACCCATTGAAAATGGGTAAAAAGGGAATAATGTATTTGTGCAAATGTAAAATGGCGAGCGCGTAGCGCGAGTTGCATTTGGTGTTGGAAGAAGAGGGTTCAGGGTATCCCCTAGTTGGGAGCTCCCGACTAGATCCTCTTACTTGTTATTTATTAATTAGCTTGTAAGATCGCAGAAGGAAGCATATCCGACCCCATAAAGTATATATATTCTTGATCATCGTCGACAGCCCCGTTTCCAAGTAATCGATAAAAATCGATATCGAAATCAATTTTTATGAGCAGTTTTGGTAAATAATAAAAGCGAGAGTCACCAAATATGACATGTAGCTTCTAGAATAGTATATATATATCAAGTATCTTTCATTTTATAGCTATCGCCACCTCCCCGCTACCACCGCAAAGCTATAAATCATGTTAGTAAACCAACTTGTTTTGCCTACTTATTTAAGCCACAATTAAATGCAATTGTCATTTTGAGAATACACGAATATTTTTAAGTATTATACAATAAGATCTACTACTGAATTTCATCAAGATCGATTAAGAAACGCAAAAGTTATATGCGCACGTGTGAGTATCAGCTAGCGCAAATCCCAAGAATTTATGTATACATGTACACACACACATTTATGCGCGTCTGCTTTGAATTCTATCAACAGCATTGCAATTGCGGTTGTATTGTTTTCTGTTCAACTATTTGAATTCGTGATTTTCTCATAGAGACTTAATTGTTGGAAAGTAGCACCATCAGTTACGAGTTCAGTTACAAGTAATGCGGTCAGTTGCGAGTTCGAGCCCTGCCAAGGGAACTTTCTTTTTTAAATATATTTTTATTACTATTTAAGTAAACGAGCGCGTAACGCGAGCTGCATTTGATGTCGGAATAAAAGGGTTCAGGGTATCCCCTGTCGGGAGATCCTGACTAGAACCTCTCACTTGTTTTTCATTAGATTAATTATTTTAATATTTAGGTTAAGTTCAATAAAGGTTGAAGTCTTTTAAAATGAACAACCCCGTTCGTAAACTGGGACTCGTTTTCTAATCTCAAAATTCGCAACAATCGTGCAAAAACCTCAAAAGCCGCCTCGGTTGGTAACCACGCCGCAGGCCGCATCATATCTACGGGCATATGTTGGGACTCCAACATATTTTTGGTGCCTCCTGTGAGGAATGATTCTTGGCGATTGGACTGAGGAGTATGGGATAGGACATTGGATTCTGATTGCTGAAGGCAGTGCAACTTAATTGAAAGGGTAAGTGCAATTTGACACTATCGTGTTAGGTTAGGAGATCAGAATGGCCGAAAACCTCACGTATTTAACTTTTGAGCAAACTGGACTGTTAACCTCGTTGGAGAAATCACTGAAAAAATACAAGGCTGATGAAGCGGTACATACGGAAACCCAGCTTAAAGCCAGGCTCGTATCGCTGGTAGAAATTAACGCAGAATTTAAACGCAACCATCAGCAGCTTGTGATGATATAGAGCACTTGACTTTGATAGAATCGAAATACCCATGCTGGTGAATTTATATGACAATAAACGAGTATTGTTTTTACATTACATGGTTGTTTTTGATCATCAATTAGCAGTTCAACATGCACACGCCGAGTGTCTAAGGAGGTTTGTGCAGACCTGCCGCTCATGTGGGAATTCGTTTGAGAATGCTGGTGTTGATATAAAGCAGCAATCTCAAGTTTTGGTATATTATATGCAATTAAGCAATTAAGAGTAGATTTTGAACGTTCATTAGCGTCGTCGCCAGATCTACCGACATTTGAAGAGCTTTGTGTTTACCTCGAGTCCCAATATGGAACGATGATTACGCCATCGTCGGGAAGTTGCGAGAAATCGCAGCCATTAGATAGCCGCAGGAATAAAAAGCAAAGCGTAAATGGCTTACGTGCAAGCCAAAGAGTCGCAAAAGCTTCATTTATTACTCGACAAGCGGACATATGCATCGTATGCGGCAAGGCTGAGCTCCCCATTGGACCTTGCAATGTAATCAAGAAATGTGTTCGTCAGAAGGCAATTGTATTGAAACATCGATTATGTTTTAAATGTCTTGAAGGAATGATCTGCTGCATGTGGCAGCTCGCGAAATTGTGCAAGGTGGGCCGAGCGGCACCATACTCTAATCCACTTGGATAAAACGCGTGGTCAAATGAATGCGCCTAGAAACGGAGCCCCAAGGAAGACGGATACAAATGCACAGCAAGTATCTACAAATTTAATCAACGGAAAGAATGAAGTCGTACATTTTACAAGACAGGTCTTCTTACCAACAGCAATGGAGCTTATTGAGTCGAAAGATGACTACCCCTTGAAGTGTCAAGCTTTCTTGGACCAGGGTGTCCAAGCATCGTTCATTTCAACTACGACTGACAAGGAAAAGGGTATACATAAAAATCAACGGCATAGCGAATGAAAGAATTACCGAAGCGTCTACAGGAATTGAGTTGAAATTTAGATCTCTATATGATTCACAGGTAAAGCATAAGATATTCATATGTCCTACACAATGGGAGTTAAAGAATGCCTGACAGAAGAATGTCTACCACGAAGTGGCCACATCAGAAGGATTTCCGTTTAGCCGATCCTAATTATTTTATTCCACAAGGTGTCGACATTTTGCTCGGGAGCGATATTTATGATGAGCTGATGTTAGGTGATGCATACCGAGGACCAACCGGTTCCCCTCTAGTACAAAATACGCATTTGGTACGTATTGAGTCTGGAAAGATCAACGAACGTGCGTCGTTGGGGTCATCGCACACAGTGAAGGAACACACTCATAATGCAAATGAGGATCTCAACAATGTTTTACGCAAGTTTTGGGAATTAGAGCTATTCGACAATGAGTGTCCACATCTCTCACTGGAGGAGAGGTGGTGCAAGGACTCCTTTGTCAATTCACATTATCGCTTATCTTCGGGAAAATATCTTGTACGTTTACCCTTTTTGTCCAATCTGGATCAAAATATGGTGATTGGTTCGTCATATCGAAGCGCATTGAAGCGGTTAGATTATCTGGACAAGCGCCTGCGTGCAGACCCCAAGTTGAAAAATGCATATTGTCACACCAATTATGAGTATGTGGAGCTGGGCCAAATTGAACGGGTTACGCCTAGGGTTTAGAACATCAAGCAATCATCATCTCAAGGAGGAGTTCAACATTGTTATTTACCGCATCGCCCAGTTATAAAGGAAGCATCTGATGATGACTACGAAGATCCGAGTTGTGTTCGACGGATCGAGCAAGACAAGCAATGGGAAGTCATTGCATGACATTTTATCAATTGGCCCCAAATTATACTTGCAGCTGCCTGGAGTTATTCTTAATTGGCCAGGTCTAAGGTTCGTGTATATGGCTGTTGTAGAGAAAATGTACAGGTGGTCAATATTCCAAGGGATGATGCCCAGTATCAGCGCATATTATGGAAATCCGATAAGAACGATCACATCAAACTACTTCAACACCCTATTTAGCTCTGCGAGCCATGCAACAATTAGCTGCGGACAAAAAGGCGACATTTCCATTGGCAGTGGATGTGGTGAAACATCGGATGTATGTTGATGACAATTTTTCTGGAGCGGATAGTGTTGCAGAGGCGGAAGCTATCCAGACTCAAGTCATTGGTATGCTACGCAGTGGCACATTTGAGTTGAGAAAGTGAGCAAGCAATTGCCCAAAATTGTTAGAAGGGATACCAATCGAATTTCGAGAAACGAAGGGATTGCTGCACCTTGATGGCGAGGACACAATTCGTACGCTGGGTATACACTGGAGCCCCGTGGAGGATGAATTTCGATTTAATTTAAATTTTGAACTATCAGCAGGCTTACCTACGAAGCGATCCATTCTGTCAACAGCTGCGAGGTTATTCAATCCTATGGGATGGCTGAGTCCGATTGTTGTAACCGGGAAAATACTGATGTATGGAGGATAAGATTGGCTGGGATGACATTGTGCCAGCAGCCATTAGAAGAGAATGGCAGAAGTTTTTAACGGAGTTGCCCAATATTTCAGACATACGCATACCACGATATATAACATGGGTATTATATAACGCAGCAGAACTACACATCTTTTGAGATGCATCTGCGCAAGCCTATGAAGCGGTTGCATATTTACGTGTTCTAACCGAGGATGACGCATTTCATACAGAGTTGCTGCTGTCAAAATGTAAGGTCTCGCCTGTTAAGCCACAATTAACCATAACCAGAGCTGAGTTGTCTGCTGCTCTTGAAGCTGCAAAATTTTATAAGTATTTAAAACAGAATTTGCGAATTAATATAAACTTCTGCAGTACTATTTTTTGGTCCGACTCAACGACAACCATAGGCTGGATCCGTGGAGGTGGTGCAATCTGAAAGGTATTTGTTTTAAATCGCATAAACAAAATTCTGGAGATCTTGAATGGAAGACAATGGAGACATGTTCGCCCGAATGATAACCCTACCTATCTAAGTTGACGTCATGTGAACTGTGGTGGCATGGACCGAAGTGGTTTATAGAAGAAGGATGGCCTTGCAATAACATTAATCAAAAGTCACTTTCACATGTGAGTATTGAGACAAGAAGCTTGACTTGCCACAGGATATCATCGTATACACTTCTTCGAGTTATGGTATATGTTAAACGTTTTATTCGAAACTGTCGCATAATAGAGTCTGAGCGTAAGCGAACTGAGATATCAACAGACGAATGAAAGGAAAGTCTCAGAGAAGTTATAAGATTGGTGCAGAAGGACTGCTTTGAAAAGGAATGGAAAGCACTCTCTTCTAGCAAGCCGGTCCCAAGAGATAGCGGCTTGTTACCTTTCAACTCATATTTTGATTTGGAGGAGCGCGTCTTACGGCTCGGAGGAAGATTGTGCGATGCCTTGTTGCCAGTGAATGAGAAAAATCCTTATATATTACCCTATAAACATTATTTCACGAGTCTTGTCGTAAATTATCGTAATGCTTGTACCTTGCATGGAGGCTCATCGCTCACGCTCAATTATAAAAGAAAGAAATTTTGAAAAAGGTGGAATTCTGAATATTTGGCACGGTTGCAGAGAAGACCAAAATTGTTGCAGATGAAGAGAAATCTGGATGTTGGATGCATGGTGTTAATAAAGGATGAACGATTTCCTTCACACCGGTGGCGTTTGGGTCGAATTACAAGCACTCATGCTAGTGCAGATGGATCAGTTAGAGTTGTGACTCTAACAACAAGCAGTGGTGTTATCAAACAGCCAGTAACAAAGCTCTGTCCATTACCCATACAATAAAATTGACTTGATAATAACACCTAACCTTTACGTAAATGTTAAATTGTACTCTTCTATTTTCAGGTAAAGATAAAGGTACCGAGACTCTGAAAGATAGTGGACGTAAATTTGATGATGGACACTGCAATCATTAAACGGGGGAGAATGTTTGGGCTACAGCTAACCCACAAGAGCATTCGCGCCGGCCTAAGAGCGTATATAATAAGAGAGCGCCTGAAAAGAACGAGTAACGAAAATGCATTTGTGCTTAGAACAGCCGCATTGAGTAATGTCTTATCACTCAATGGATCACGCGCTATCACGGTTGAGTTGAATTGAATTTAGTGGCTCTCTCAAGCGCTCGAGCTTTAAGTATTGTTACTTTAAGTTATCTTACTTTCGTGTATTTTGTATTTCTATTGAACTTTGGATTTGCTAGCTTAGTAACAGCGAAATTTGCAGCACATGTTGAAGTCTGTCAGAGTCAGTCCAAGTCACCGGACGCATGCTCTATGTAGGTCAGTTTAAATATTTTAAACTTTAGGTTAAGTTCAATAAAGGTTGAAGTCTTTAAAAATGAAAAACCCCGCTCGTGAACAGGGACTCGTTTTCTAATCCCAACATTCGCAACAATCGTGCAGAAACCTCAAAGCCGCAGGCCGCAACATATCTACGGGCAGTTTGGGGCTCCGCACATTGCGCAGCCGATAACCAACATAAACTAATTTATAAGCTACATATTAAGTTTGGTGACTCTATCTCTTTTATTTAAAAAATTCCTCAAAAAACAGTATTTCGATTTTGATGTTTATCGATTACTTGGAAACGGAAAAAGTTATCGCATATCGGAAAGAAGCTCGTTCTGCGCGGGCACTAGGCGGACCTTCAGCTAAAATTTCAGACGGACAGACGGACGTATATTGCTAGGTCGACTCGGCTGTTGCTGCTGGTTAAGAAAATAGATACTGTATGGAGTCGGAGATGCTTCCTTCTGCCTGTTACATACAAATACATTATACCCTTTTTACCCATTTTCAAATGGGTCCAGGGTATAAAAATAAATATAGTTTCCTTGGTAGGGTTCGAACTCGCAACAGACCGCACTACAGCCACACCAATAACTGCGTCTTAGTGAGAAAAAAAACGAATGAAAATGGCAGTACAGAAAACAATACAATCGCAAATGCAATGATGTTGATAGAATTCAATTAATATCTTCTGTATTTCTTAACCGATCTTGATGAAATTTTCTACAGTCGTTCTTATTGTGCTATAGAATATTTGTATCTTCTCAAAAAGTCAATAGCATTGAAATTGTGGCTTATATTGGTGAGCAGTATAAATTGGCTTTTTTATTTGATTAATATCTATGAGGTAGTAGCGGGGAGGTGGTGATAGCTATAAAATGAAAGATACTTGATATATAGAAACTTTTCTAGAAGCTACATGTCAAGTTTGGTGACTCTAGCTCTTCTTATTTACCAAACTTGCTCAAAAAACAGGATTTCGATGTCGATTTTAATCGATTACTTGAAAACGGGGCAAGTTATCAAATATCGGAAACAAACTCCTACTGCGCGGGCAGACGGACAGTCGGACGGACATGGCTAGATCGACTCGGCTGTTGATGCTAGTCAAGAATATATTTACTTTATGGGAGATGCTTCCTTCTGCCTGTTACTTAAATTTGCACAAATACATTATACCCTTTTTAGCCAATTTCAATGGGTTCAGGGAATAAAAAAAAATGTGTAAACATTTTGCCTATTTTCAATTAATACTTGAAACAACCAATTCATCTACCCGATGGGAATAATGCACCTATGTTAATGTTGCCAGGTACTATGGCTAAGTTGTGTAGCTGCCACAAACGTAAATTGGTGGCTCTAGCACATCTCTTCGACCCTTACGCACTGGAGGTATTATGTCAGAGTATGCGCTGCCATGGAATCATCGAAGGTCTGATTCGTCTAGAAGCATGCTTGCTTATCAGGCAAAGCTATCAGTTTCACTACATGCCTAAGTGAAATACTTATCGTACGACCCACCAACCTCCTACTCTGCATTAGTCTTAAGCTGGATTTAAGGCTCTTTGACGAACTTAGTATAGACTTTGCTCCCCACAAATCCATCTCACGGGTTGGCCGTTCGCAGGTTTCGAACGCGGCAGCATGCGACAATTTGTGCAGAGCTTTACGGTGCCGACTCTTTCTATTGCTTTCGTCGCTCTCAAATCGCTCCTGAGTTGCATAAGTGTAAAGCTGCTAACAGTGTAGTCGAGTGTTTCATTCTTACGCGAGACATTAAGCTTGATGGTCGGAGATGCAATTTACGAGGAAGCTACCAGAGGCCTGTATAAGTTGGCATGACACCCCAACAGCCTCGCCAGAAGTCCAGAGGAAGGTAGAAGGATTAGGACCAGAGGAATGCTTAGAATTTTATTATTGTACACCCCAGTGTTGCAATTATATATTTATAAAGTAAATTACTAAACACTAACAATACAAATTTAATATTTAATGATTAAATTTACCTAATTTATGCATACTAAATTCCAGTTGACAACAATTTCATTTTAATATATCAGTAATTATTAAATAAATAAATTTAGATTATTAATTAAAATGCGATCTTTGTAGGAATGCTTTAAGACTAATTTTAATTTGCGTGTTGTTTAAAATAGTCTTTAAACGAAGAACGTGTACACGGTAGGCACTGCTTTCTGAGCTTTCGTCTATTTAGGAATACATTTTTAGTCCGACGGGATGGAGCAAAATAGAGCAGGCCATTAAGCTACTTCAGCTCTTTGGTAATGCTGATTTTCTGAAATAAAGATAGTTTTCTAATTGTAGCTTAGTCGCCGTTTCAACCCAAATACAC